CGTCATCGTTGGAGAGTTCGAACAATGTATAAGTTAATGAAAATACTGCGGTTGGAAATCTGTACTGAGAACATTCCATGAAATTTTAGTGATCAGCTCCTCAAGAGTGATGTTTCTCTTGAAGGATATTCTGACATAATGATTTGATGCGAAGACGATGTCAGTTTCATCTTCCCGAATTTATTCATTATAGTAAAGAATAACTGAAATACACGCCATTTTGAGAGTTTAAAAGATTGAGAGTTTTATATATGCAAAAAAAAAAAACAATAGTTGAAATACGTCTAATTAAATAAATAGTATATGAATTAAAATATAAACTAATCCAAAAAAATTTAAAAAAGTTCACAATAATTTAAATAACACAATTTATATTGTTACTATATTTGCAAAATGTCTCGAGGTATGGTATCGCTTTCCAATTTTATAACCGCAAAAAATAATATAAAATAATTAGTACAATAAAATTTGTTCAAATAATTAAGTATAAAAAATATAATATAATAAAAAATAAATTTACCTTATAAAAATAATAACAAAATCTACTTAGTTTAATAGAAAGAATTAATAGAAATGTGAATAAACAAGTAATTTTGGTGTGGTGATGTTTGCATTCAGAGAGGTTCTCTGTTGTTATTTATAGGGAGGGGAAGCATTTAAAAGCCAAGTTTTCAGGCTTGGATAGTAATGGAGTACCAATTATTCAACGTGCATATATGATCCGCGCCTTCCGTATGTGTCAGAACCCCGCGAAGACACGAATGACGATCCACACCTTACCCTTAAATGGCGTCAGCTCGGACAAAACCCTACGAAGGCGCGGATGGCAAATTTGCTTTATTGTCACCGTGTTAGAAAGAGTAGATCGATAATATTTGGAGAGAGGGTGTTTAACAGATAATTATTGGATTTAAAGATGATATTTATTAAAAACGGCAGGCTGACACCTGGTCCTATGGATGATGCAGTAATCTGGATTTTGAATTTTGGATAAATAGAATTTTTCCCCTTAATTTTTCTGTGATATGTGAAAAGTATTAGCAAGTGTATGGATGAAGTAGAATGACGGTCGTTGTTAGGAAGTGTGAATGACAGAGAATATACACAGTAAAGAATTGCATTGCCTTCATATTAGTTGGTACACTGTTTTTATAACAATGATTTAGCTAATCACTAACCACCTAACAAACTGACTTAGCTAATCAACCTAACAGACTAACCACCTTTACATGCACGTGCTGTATTAACAGCAGTCTAACATATAGCCATCTAACAGTCGTCCAAGAAGCCATTCCAACCATTATTTCAAACCGAGATGAACCAAAGTAATCACCTAAATTATCCATTTCCAAAAACAAAACAAAAAATCCAAATGATCCGCCCTCCTCCAGTGTTGTTCCTGGCTAAATTCTGTGTCGTTTACCCCCCTTCCTTACAAGCTTGGAGTCATGACTCCTTTCTCTTGTTTACCTTCTGCAAGAAACACCAATTCCCCTAAAGCATTTCTTCTCAGCAATCCTCATTTACATGTTCCCAAACACCATTACCATGAAACCAAACTGCCCAAGAAAGATAATCTTGTGTTTAGGCCTCTCCAAGTTCCAGGCAGGCATTGTCTTCCGTTCTTGAGCTTCAGAAACTCTAGACTCAGGCACCCTTTTGTCAACTTATCATCTTTTGCGGATGCGGAAGGAGAGAAAGAGCAAGAAGGTGAATCTAAAGCGAGTGAAGAAGACTTGCCAGTGAAGAAGACTTGCCTGGAATGGCTCAAGCTCTTAATATACCTTCCAGTACTGCTTCTGCTATTGCTATATTCATAGCGTTTGAAGCTCTGAGTCTGCCCTTCTTCATGAAGTCCCTAGGTCAAGGAGTGGGTTTGAAGACCAAGTTTTTGTCATACGCGACGCTTTTGTTCGGGTTCTACATGGCTTGGAACATCGGAGGCAATGACGTGGCGAATGCCATGGGTACTTCGGTGGGATTGGGTGCATTGATCCTTCGTCAGGCTGTTTTGACGGCGGCCATTTTGGAGTTCTCGGGAGCGTTATTGATGGGAACTCATGTGACCAATACAATGCAGAAAGGGATCCTTGTTACTAATGTGTTTCAGGAGAAGAGTACTCTCCTTTTTGCTAGATAGCTCTCTTCTCTCGCTACTGCTGGTACTTGGTTGCAAGTGCCTTTCTCAACTATCCCTGATATAAACTTGTTTCTGCTTTGATATAAAGTAATGGAGGGCTTATGAAATTACCCTATCAATTGCATAAATCGACCAGTGAAGTAGTTTTAGAAATCAGTAATGGAGGGCTTATGAACAGCGTTGTAGATGTTCTTACTGGCAACTTTTTAACCATATGAAACCAGTCGTTGGTCTACACATTTGTATGATGTTTTTGTCCAGGTTGCATCGTATTACGGGTGGCCGGTTTCGACCACGCACTGTATAGTAGGATCAATGGTTGGATTCGGCCTGGTTTATGGGGGACCTGGCGCTGTTTTCTGGATGTCTCTGGCAAGGGTTATTTCGTCGTGGGTTTTCTCACCTGTAATAGGAGCCTTGGTGTCATTCCTAGTCTACAAATGCATCCGCAGAGTACGTTCTTTCTCACTGGAATCTTACATTGAAACTTCGGGTTAACCATATGATCCGGCTTGTTCAGTTGTGTTTACAACATGTTTTCTTGTTTACTTAGTTTGTTTACAGTGCTCGTAACCCGGGACTAGCAGCGGCTGCAGTGGCACCAATTGCAGTTTTTCTGGGCGTAACCGGGATTTCTTTTGCAGGCTTTCCGTTAAGTAAGAGCTTTCCGATAGCTCTTGGACAGGCTTTGGGTTGTGGAGCAGTTGGGGCATTCATAGTTTACAATATTATCAGAAAGCAGCTCGGTCATCTCCTTGCCAAAGCCACTTCTACATCACACTCGGAGCCGGAAGAGAGTACTCCTCAGACTAAAAATCTCGGTCTTCTCTCGGATGTAGCAGGGCCTAAAGGCACCCAACTGGAAATAGTTTATGGGGTTTTCGGGTACATGCAGGTATTGTCAGCTTGCTTCATGTCATTCGCCCATGGAGGAAACGATGTTTCGAATGCAATAGGGCCTCTAGCTGCTGCATTATCGATTCTTCAAGGCGGTGCCAGCAGCACCGAGATCATTATTCCAAACGATGTTCTTGCTTGGGGAGGATTTGGAATTGTAGCAGGGCTTATGATCTGGGGGTACAGAGTGATAGCAACGATCGGGAAGAAGATAACTGAACTCACACCAACAAGAGGGTTTGCAGCCGAGTTTGCAGCAGCTTCAGTCGTTCTCTTTGCATCAAAACTGGCATTGCCAATATCGGCAACCCATACTTTGGTCGGAGCAGTCATGGAGGTTGGCTTTGCGAGAGGATTAAATAGTGTTCGAGCCGAGACTGTTCGAGAGATTCTGACATCCTGGGCTGTCACAATTCCAGTTGGTGCTTCTCTTGCGGTCGTCTACACATTGATCTTAACCAAATTTTTTTCATTCATTTTATGATAACGTATTCGAGGAAATCTAAACACCTCGATGTATGCGATCAATTCGAATAACTCCCCTTTTTTTCAAAGTATTTTTGTGAAACTACTATGCCATTGTTGAGTTTATGTGATTTCCTCAACCGGAAATCACTAAATATTTTGGATTTGGAGAGGACAAAAATTGCATGCGGACCATATTTGTATTTTTCAATGTCAAATAGTTTTCATTTAGCAGTAAAGTGATCAATGCCACAATGGCACAAAATTGAGGATAACAATTGTGTTGGCAATCACGCCAGCAATCAACAGCTAAAACAAAGAATATCCTCAGTTTTGTAAACACAAGATCAATGGCAAACAAAAGCATGAAGGGTGTGATTACTTGGTGCGAAAGCAATCGAGCATGATAATGCAAATGACAATTGATGATCGAATTTAAGGATGACAAAAAAGCATTCAATCTGCCAGAAGAACCAAACTAATCTAGGAAATTCATGTTTTCGATTTATTCAAGTTAATATACTTCCCTTACAAGCATCTGAGGTAAATAACAAGCATGTTACCCGAAACCGGGGGGGGGGGGACAGAACCTTGAAGTAGAAAAGAGTCATGGAGAAAGTTCTTGTATGGAAGTTTAACTGGGTTCCCAATCTGATTCGCGCAACATCGATGTCCTCAGGAGCGGTGGTACAAAAGGCTTCTTTCCCTCTACCATTCCGCCCTGAATGTTTTGACTCCCTCTCCTTTGGAACTTTAGATACCTTGGAAGGCTTGGCAATATGGAAGTCTTTTGCAGAATAAACAGATTTCTCCAAGTTTTCTCCAGATATATCCCAAGTGATGCTTGCATCTGGCATTTCCTCTCTGCCTTCAGCTGCTCGTTTGACCTGAATCTTCTTCCGGTGTCTACGCTTCAGTTTTTGGACTGTAGAGGATGGGATTATGTAATACTTTTGGCCAGGCAACAGGCGATCTCCAGGCAGTAAAAGGGACTCATCAGGTTTCGTAAAAACTTCGGTACGTGAGATACACATCCCTGGATGTTTTTTAATCAGATGGGATACAGGAGCAGCATTTCGATACAGTTCCTCTTCCCATCTGCACGAACTATCCTCACATATATATCCCTTGATTGTGAGAAGTCAACTGACACGGGTGCTCCTCGCACATCTTTCTTGCTACCAGAATCCTGGTTCTTATGCTTACCGAACCCGGACAATGTAATACACATCTTCAACATAGCTGTGGATTAAAAGTCACCTGATCAAGATGTTGCATTATATTCCGTTGCATGGGATATGACGAACCATTCTTTGTTTTGGGTTGTGTATTCTTCTGCCCTAACCGATTTGGATTCCGTCTTGTATTTTTTTAGCCGGCTTATCTAGTTTAATATTCTCCCACAGAAATATTGATGAAACCAATGCATTAAACAAGCGACAATGGCATTTTCTTTTGACAAATTCCACAAGAATTCTCAAAGTTATCATCAACCTAGATTGCGAAACTTCAAGTCAATTACTTCTTAGAGGGCATCAAGCACATCCTTGTAGCAATATCATAGTCCCATAAACCCGATAGTATCTGTCGCTCCAGCTTCTTCGCTCTTCCACTAATCCAATTGTTATGGAGAACAAAACAACCCTGATTCTCGCAGGCTGATTTTATGTCCTCTCTCTCCCATAGCCCCAGGTATGCACCGTTTGGGAAAAGGTTTCTGTCCAAGAATTGAACAGTCAAATTTGTCTCAGGTTCCACACATCTATTATCACCCACACGAGAGGAACCCCCTTCACCACATAACGTATCGTAGAAACTTGGCTGCTCGGATAGGCCAGAAGTTGCAGCATGCCTCACTACCTTTTCCATAGCAGCAATGGTGGGGGCATCAGCACGGGAAAAGTAAAAGCCGGAGTTCAAGCGTCTCGGTAAGTTTACAGGACCTGCAAGGGAACAAGTTCATTTTTTAGAACTATGGAAATGATTAGTCATTCATTTAGTCTCGTAATAGTGCCATGTGCAAATGGTAAGAATCACCTGTTTGATTGTATTCATCAGACTGAGCCGCAAGAGTGGCAGGACCGAAAGAAGAAAGTATTGGCAAAGGATTTCTAAACCAGTATACATCCACATCACTCAAAAGTACATTGTACCCTAGCTTCAGAATCTGTAAAACCAATCTGGATTTCACCTTGGTTACTCTCTGAAAGCATTCTGTTCCAAAGTGACAATCGTTAAAACTAATACTACTCGGAGCTGATGGATCGTTGAAGACGGGAAGACCCTAGGCACAAAACAGAATTCTTCATTCAGATACATGCTGGAAAAAGGGTCAGCTCAGCTGAAACAAGAATAGTGAAACCAAATAAGAATAAGAGGAAACACCTGCATTATGGAGAACTGATAGGTCTCGTAATCAAGTGCAGAAACCAAAAAGTTTGTAATTCTGAGGTGCCTCAATCTGCAGACCCAACTCATTAACATGTCCTTATAACTATATCCTGCGACTGTGAGCACAACAGTCCGATTCTTGTCTGCAACGATGGCAAGTAGTGATTCTAAGGAAAAGGGAAGCTTTAATGTCTTTGTGGGCACTATTTGATATTTCAAAGAGCGACTTAAAGTTCCATTCTGCGACTTTATAGTTCCAGCAATGCAAGCCAAAGTTTTCTTCGATCTCCAGCAGTTTGGGATGCTTCCTCTCCATAAGCTCTTCCTTTCATAGGTACAAGAATGAAGGAAATCTTCTGTAGTATTAATAATAAGGTATTGACCATCACATTTCAGAAGTTTCATCACAACGGAATAGTTAACTCCGTGAAGAGACGATGATCCATATACTGCTGCTAGATGGGAATTGCCATCATATTCCCAACTTCCCTTTCCGATATCTGAAATATTGGAGCTCTTAACTAAACCGTTAGACCAATGCCGTGAATTGTCCAGGGCAATGTTTGAGATAGTCCAACTGGCATCAAACACGAACCTTAATCCACTAGACAATGCCTCGTTGATTAGCCAGTGGTTGTAAATTCCCTTCCCATACAGGAAAGGAGGAAGCACTCCATGATGTAAGGGCATATCCCCATTGTTCCATGCTATCACCATTCTACTGTCACAACAATTCCACTGCAAACTTGAGCCTAGTATATCCTGCAACTGATGAAACAGACAACGATGTCAAATGAAGTTTCCTCCTCTAGATCTCCAATCTTGGTGTGGATTCTATACATACCTCCTGAATTCTAATCCTTTTGCCATCTTTTAGCCAATGTTTCCCGTCATTGTCTAGATAGAATGGGAAATTTGAAACATTTCTTGAAGAAGCAAAAAGGAGCCAATCATTATCAAGCTTATGAGCATAATTCAACGCCGAAATAAAGTCAGGCAGGAGAACAGATTCAGTATCCATGAAAATATATATGTCGGATTTAAATGCCCGAGACTTTGCTACCATGGAATGAAAGATAGGAACCCCAAGAAACCTATCCAAAGACAGAGCAGAAAGAACCTAATGAAATTGTGATCCAATTGGTACTGCAGTTAATCGATGCCCATAAATTCACCTCTAAAACAATTAAGATAACTCTAAGATTAGAAATGAATGCATTCAATGAATAAGAATGTAAAGATTACGTGAAATCGATATCTGATTCCACCTGAACCCGGGATCCAAAAGAAGCAGCGAAAGAAGCAGCAGAATGGTGTTGCGTAAAGAGAATGACTGAGATTTGTGGGGACAAAGCAAGCCATGACCGAATAGCCAGACTCTGTTTATCCCCTGAAAAACCTGTAAACGGCGTAGGAGCAGTGAAAATAGCAATTTTGGGAGCTTCAAGGTTGCTGACACTTCCATGGATGAAAATTGGATTGCTGGAGAGTGGTAAACTACGAGTAGCATAAAGGGATATTGCAATTAGCAGAACTCCAGACACCCAAACTGACCACAATCCAATCTGCAATGTCTGTATTAACCAAAAGAACGATTTAAAAAAAAATACATTAAGAGCTTGATTGCATGCGATAGGAACATGAAAGATTAATGTGAAAAAGAATGGACCTTCATTGAGGAGAAGTTCTTGGTGGAATGAAAACAAGTTCTTGGTGGGTTTTGGTTGATTTTTTGAATTGTGAAGGAATGATCTGATGGGAAATGGCAAAAGATAAAAAAAAGAGTGGGACTTTAACCGAAAAGATGAGCAATGAAGTGGAAGGGGAACGAAGAAAGCAACAAGCTCCATGAGGGAAGCACTTAACGAGTCAGGTTTTTCAGCACCAGAACAGGGATTACAGGCCATGTGAGGTATTTAAAAAGTCAACTCCATTTCCAAAAAGAACCTACTTTCAAAGAGACAAATCCTGATCGGCAGACGGGTAGGTACTTTACGTTAATGTCTAAATTATATTTTTGGAAAGGTAATTTAACTTGTATGTTGACTATTAATTTATATATAATACTTGTTTAATATTATGATATCATATTTTATTATATCTTAGTTAATATATTAACGCCTTGCTAAGTCGTTAATTTTTTTAACAAAAAATGATAAATTTGAGATATTTAAATAGTCGAATGATCATTTTATAATTTGTAATAATCGAATGACTCAATAAAATAATACTTTATAATCGAAATTATTAAAACATATCGACAAAATGAATTTTTCACCTAACAATCACTTTTTATTGTCGTCAATTGGACTACACGACCATTCAAATCAAAATTGAGTTGTTCGAATCTCTAATCGTGCACTCACAACTTGACCTTCGATTTTTAAAAGGATTTTAAGATTTAAGAATTTTAAAAATATAAAAAATTTAGAATTTTTTTAAATCCAGTATTTTTTATTTTTATAAAATTATTATTAATAAAAAATTAATGTTATGTGTAAAACAATTATTAGTTGGTAATTTGTTTATATATAGTTGACAATATAACCTTAAAATAACAATAAAAAAACTTTAAATAATTTAAATGATAACCAAAAAAAATATTTTCACAAAAAAAAAAAAGGAATGAGACTCTAAGGAAAGGAATGTGATTGCTCTGAGCGGGTCTAGAACTTATGACCTAACAAAATATGAGAAAACAAACATGAACATTTAGTCACCCGACCAGATTCGCTTGTTTGATAAATAAAGAATATTAAGCACTCATATTAACAAAAAAAAGTATACATCTAAAATAAAAATATATATAATTTAGATATTTGTTTTTTAATTAATTATTTTATAAATATATTTGATGTGCTATGCAAATTAGAGACGGGTATAAGATATGAATTTGATAGGTTTTGACTCAATTCAATTTTATTGTGTCAGTTTTTTTAAATTGAGTTTGAGTAGGATCAAGTTGAGTTTTTTGGAGGATAAATTCGAGTAGGGATAATTTTGGGTTTAGGGTGAAAAATACGCAACCCAAAACATAATGTAATTACTTTATATATTTAAGTATAATAGCAATAATAATTTTTTCTAAATTATATTTTTAATTAGATCTTGTTTTATCCGATTAAATTAATATTTTTTTAATAAATATATTTATTTTGGATCAAGTAAAATATAATTTTTTATCTAAAAAATAGGTCAAAATTTAGGTGTACTGAAATTATTTTCTAAATCCTTATTAGATCAAATTTTAAGTAGAAATTATATATATATATATATATATTGGATTAGATTAAGTTAAAAACTCGACCCAACTAGACTAGGGCTGTAAATGAGACATGGCAGATCACAAGTTACTCAAAATCGACTTTCTCAAAGCTCGACAAATACTCGACTCGAGCTCAAGCTTGACTTGAGTTCTTAACGAGTTGAAACGAGCTACTTGATACTCGACTCTAAAAGCTCTTGAGCAACTAAAAAATATAATATATTAAGATTTTATTATAACACCCTAAACCCGAGTGGGCCTAAAGTGTTACATTGTGCTACCAAGGCAGCCACTGATTTTCAAAACCTGTTCATTTTCTTTTCAACGTACTGAATGGTGTCATAACAAAACATAAGTAACTGATATAAAAACATTTTAAGAAATCATAGCTATGTGATACATGATTTAAAACAAAATAATACACCTTAAAATTTATAACTCAAATGCATAAGTAAGGTTCTATTAATACACATGCCCACTAAAGCTACAGTACAATACTCTGTCGGAGATGCTGGAAGTCCTGCTGCGACGATGCTCCACGAACTGCCCAAGCTACTGACGTGCCAACGAAAAACATCCAAAGGTTGAGCTCAGAAAGCCTAACAGTATAATCGCTAATCTAGAGCAACATAAGAATTTCATAAACATAGACATGCAGAAACGTTGTACTAAGCAGTAGGTACATGCATGACCTAGATCAAGTGCTACCTACTTAAGGCTTAACTGCTCTATCACTGAAGTAGGATTCTCACGCTTTCTTTAATCCTCTACTAAGGGCCTCGCCATGAATACACCTTTAAAGGGTCTCTAACCCTAACGAATGAACATGCTACGCATTATCTAAATGCGAATCTAACATATTGTGCATTATCTGAATGTAACCTGACTAGTATCTGGTCTCATATAACTCTCAGACACTAGCTACTGAGGGAACCCTAGTATCACATAGCATCAGCGTAGTTTCCACAAAACATACTGAATGATCTCCTGGTTCTCACATAGCTATCAGGTAGATCACTCAGGGAACCCGTGTCACATAACATCAGTATAATTCTCGTACAAATTGAAGCATTGACTCGCTCTCACATAGCCTTCAAGCTAATCTTTAACATATATGACATACTAAATTGATGAGACTACACATGCATGACTGACATAAACATACATGAGAAAGTTTTGGTTGTGTGATCGGAGGAATTTGCGTGCATCTCGGAGCAATACCATAACCTACCTTGAATACGAAACAACCTAAGGGTAAGAACCGAAATTTATGTGCATCAGAAGCTTACCCAACTGAACTTAACGGACGTAACTACCCATGCATATCTAAGGCTTAAAGGCCACATAACATTGACATCGCTAACCCACTCCTCGCTAGTGTTCCGGTCTCAAGCCCTAGTTTGCCTCTGAAGCGCCTCGTGCACTGTCAATGCCCCACTAGGGCAACTAAGGTAACCTGAGTACATCTTAACATGGTTGGACTAAATAAAGTGAATTCAACATCAAACTGGTTGTTATCTTGCTCGTTCTCTCATATATAATGCTATGTGAAGGCTTACTTATTAGCGATGGAATTGTCTTGGGTTAATTCTGAGTAGCGGTACTCTATTCAGACTTGTCATACTTCCCTTCAGAACCTCTTGAACTGAAAAAATGGTTTACTCTTCTTGGGTTCAGTAACATTCTCGAAGCTCATTTTTCTCTACTAGCGAATCTGACATATTCATCGTACCGCTTATCGGATGTCTCACTTAATGATCCTTGGTCCCAACTATTTTTATGCATCCTCGATTAAAGATACTTCGGCGTATTTTTGCCTAATATGGTTACATCTGTTGTAACCCGCTCCTATGAGTGTTTCTAAGTATATTTGGTCATTTATGTCCCCCACGGACTCTGTTTCACCATTACAGATCATCCTTAACTTTTACTAGCATATATTAACTTATTCACTTAGGCACAAAAGGGTATTTTAGTAATTTGTATGATACACTTGAAAATCATCCTAAAGGTCATAGTTTGATTCTAAATCATGCATTGAAGTTTTTGGGAGTTAATTAGGGTCCCTATATATCATAAAACACATTAATAACACCTAAAACATTCTTAAATCTTGAAATTAAATGTAAACCGTAATATACTCAACTACACAAATCTTAGAAAATACTTGTGATTTATGAAATCATAATACTCCAAAGGATTAGAAATACACTACCTTGATTTTAGAAATATGAAATGAAGCTCATTTATCTAGAAATCACCCACCTCAAGGCTTGGACTAAGAAAACCCTCTTTTTCTTACAAAGACAAAATCCAAAGCTTGAATCTTTAAAAATGATGTTGTTGGGAGGGGGCAATTAGGATGAAAATGAATTAAGAAGGTTCAAGACCTTACTTTGGAATTATGGTTACATAGAGAAGATAAAGGAAGAAGAAATGAAGAATAAGATGAAGAGAAGATAAGTGGAAAATGAAACCCACATCCAAAAACACATAAAACCCTAAATCTTAGCTTCAAAATCTCACAATGGTCTAATTGTTCTTTTAGTCCTTTGCATTTTGTCCCTTATTTAAAAAGAAAAAATAACCTCAGTGACAAAAAATGCCTTATAATATACGATTTAACCAACTTTTTTTGGATTTGCCAAAATGACCAACAAAATCGCAATGCGATCGATAATTCGCAACGCGATCTCCGGTATCGCAAATCAGTTTCCAGATTCGCAACGCGATTCTGACTATCGCATTGCGATTTCCCAAATCCGCGTTGCGATTTTCCTAATTCGCAATGCGAATACGTAAATCGCAACGCGATTACGTAAATCGCAA